AGTGAGAAAACGAAAAAAATAAAAAGAGGGCCTCCTTCAGGGTATGTGTCTGCTGTCACAGTAGACAACGTGGGCAGCAGTGTACAGGTATAAGTCAATGAGTCTCAGCAAGCCAGTTGCAGACCCTTGAGATTCAGGCAGATTTTTGGCTGCAACTCCCAAGTTGAATTCCCTGTCCTCCTGCAGGGTTGAACTGTGCAAGGTTCCAGCTGCCTTTCCCCTGAAGATAGTCCAGGTTCCGATGGGAGGTGATGATCCCTCCAACTTACCAAGTACCGTGGTCTGGTGTGCCTTTATTGCAGAGATTCTCTTCACTTTTCCAGTGGGTTTCGGTTTTCATCAAGGAGTGAGAGAGACCCTCTCTCTGTTGTTCACTTGTGCAGCCCAGGACAATGGTCTTTATAGTGTGCCTTTGTAGTGTGGAACCAGGTAGCGGCACAGCCAGGAAGCCAGAGGTGGGTGGGGGGAGAGCAGGCTGCAGGTGGCCAGGGACCTTTCTCTCTGCCTGCGCAGTAAGCTGGTCCATCATTTTATGTTTTACTTAATAAAAATAAGGATAGGCAGGTAAGAATTAATATGCATTTAAATTCTTGAAGAGTTAACCTCATGAAAGTATAAAGAATCTTACATGATTTATTTGAAGTTCCTAACCTCTTTCAGGGATTTGTTGCATTTATTTATAATAGTTTCTGTGTCCTTATAGAATGTAGATTGAAAAGTATCACCCTTTCAAGATCAGTTACAGCACATTACTGTATTTTGGGGCAGTAATGTATTAAGGTAGAAGAGTACTGAACATGTTTTTGCTCTTGGGATTTATAGGAGGGAGGAGAGCGACTCGCCTATGGAATGGATCTGAAACAAGGATACCAAGGCTTGGATTTAAGCAAGTTTAGTAATTCAAAGTATGCCGAGTCTAATTAGATCTGACACTTGGTTCTTCTAAAATGGATTACCCACTTTTTTTTTTCTCCTCTACTTCCCACAGGAAACCAGTTTCCTCCAATTGCAGCACAGGACCTCCCTTCTGTTCTAAAGGCTGGCTACCTTGAAAAACGCAGAAAAGGTAAGCTGTAAAATTCTATTGAAAAAAATCTAAGATTGTTTTCACTTACAGATAAAACATGTTTTAGTATACATGTGGAGCCAGTATTCTCTTTAGATGATGGCATAGTTTAGGACTGTAAAAAAAAAAATATGGACGCTATTATCTAAAACAAAATATTGGATTTAGCATTAAATAATTTTTAATAACAAAACAAAACAGTGGGTTGGATAGTTTCCAGCTTGGGCTGTTTATAAATGATTCAACAGCTGGTCCCTGTATCTCCTGGAAAAGCTGTGGGCCATGCCACTGTTCTCAAGAATGGGATTTTTCACTGTTATCCCACCCTGGTGAGTAGCAGCCTGCCCCTGACCTGGCATACACCATGTCTGCTGTGGTCACAGCAAGCCTGGCATCTTGTCTGCCTTTGTCAAGTATTCATTTCAGTGTTCCTCTCCATTGGCCACAATAATTGGGAGTTGACCAGATGGTTTCACTCTTTCAACACCAAAATTTAATGGAAAAGAAATACGCAAGTGGTATTAAGGTATGGAAAATGAATAGTAGAAAGTCTCTTCATTACCATTCTGCTTATCTCTCAGGTAGTCTCTTTGGCCCCTCCTATTTATATTCCCTTTGCTTTTCTTAGCTTCCTTAGCTGAATTTTAAAGCCAAAAGAGATAATAGAAATAATATGCATCTTTTATAACAGATAAGAAAATGAAGTCCAGATGAATTGCCCTTTTAAAGATGTGAGGTTTTTTTCCTTTTTCTTTTTCTTTTTGTACCGGGGATCAAACTTAGGACCTCGTGCTTTCCTGGCAGGCACTGTGGCCTAAGATGTGTTTTTGAAACTGTCTCTGTCAGTGAAGTTTGGTAGCCAGGCAATTGACATAAGTGTGGCAGCTCAATTTCTGATTCAGTTGATTCCTTTTAGCTTTATTGGTGGTTGTGGGTGGTTGTTTGTCTTTTGAAATAGAATATACAGATTAGTCACAGAATATTAACACTAAAAGGAACTTTTCTTTTATAGTAAAGAAATGGCCTTATATTTATATTAGTCATATACATTAAACTATTCTTTTCTTCCCTTTATTACAGATCACAGCTTTCTGGGATTTGAATGGCAGAAACGATGGTGTGCTCTCAGTAAAACAGTGTTCTATTATTATGGGAGTGATAAAGGTAGTGTTGCTGTTCAATTATATCAACTATTGCATGAGCAATTTTGGGCCATTTTTCCTGTCCCCTCCCCTAATTTTTGGGTGCAGAGTAAACTGAACACAAATAGAGAAAGAATAGCAGAATTTTTAACAGTTATAGCCTGAGTAATTTATACTTCTATTTCATTATTTGACAAATACTTTGAATTCCAGACTCTATCCCCCAAAAGTTAACACAGTTGTGTTTTATTGAATTAGAAAAGAGAGTAAAATAACTTTCATCTATGTGGCCTTTCACCTTAGAAAATATTTATCACCAGGCTACAGTTATAGCACTTCTAGAAAGGCAAACACAGTAGAAGTGTGAGAAATCTAAAAGAAAAAGAAAATATTTTAAAAGAAAAATTCAGGGCCTGGGATTTAGTTCAGTGGTTCTGCCACCTGCTTCACAAGGGCAAGGTCCCAAGTTCAATCCCCGGCACACACACACAAAAAATGCAGATAAATGTATACAGTACTCTTCTGATCTTCCTTTACTGATGTAAAAGGCAGCAAGTATGTTTACTATATCCTGGACCCTTGTTAAGCATTTTAGCTATCTAAGCATGTCAGCTATATTAACTTGTTTAACTGACAACAATTCCTTGAGGTAGGTACTATTATTAGTTCCACTTATTTTACTGTTAGGAAAACTGAGGATAAAGAGGTTAAAATTTGTTCAAAGTCACAGAGCTGGTACATGGCAGCTCTGGGATTTACCTACAACCTATGCAGAATCCAATCTCTTAACCACTATTGTTACTATCTTAGGTTTAGAACACTCAGATACATTTTGTAATTTTATTTTTAATTAATAAACCTTTTAGTCATAGCTCATATAACTTTAAGTTTCTTATTTGAACAAATAAAGGCACAAAATAATGAAATATAAAACATATAAACTCTTAGTTTTGCTTTTTTCCCCCCTAGGGAAAGCAGGGAAGAAATTGAATATTGCTGCTTCAGAGTATCTTTTATTTTGCTCTTTATTTATATTTTGGGTTTCTTATAGAAGAGAAACCATGTGATATTTAAACTTGTGTGCCTGATTTATTTCACCTGACATCATGGTCTCCAGGAACAAGAGTTGGAGTGAGAAGGCAGGAATGGGAGGAAAGGGACAAAAAAAGAATTAAGATGTACATGTGCAAACTCCCCACTGTAAATGTAGTCATTATGTACTGCAAACATACACTAATAAAAAAATTAAAAAGAAGTTGAACATCATAAACTAAGGGTCATATAGAAAGAAATAGGTAACATTTGCTTCCAGAAGGGGCATTACAAGGAGAAAAAGACATAAGCTCCAAATCATTGAATATTGTGAGGGCTCCTCTTTCTAGGATGATTTCAAGTATGTTTTTGGTGGCTTTTTTCTCCTTTGGCTTCTTTCTTTGGAGTTCTCAGCTAGTTTCTCTTCTTTTAAGGACTTAAAAATATCTGCCTTTAGACAATTTTAAATTGCTTGTTTGGCATGATTTTGATTTCCTTCCTTTATATATTTTTTTCCAGGAAAATGTGTTAAATAAAACTTTTTTTTTCCTTTTGTGAAATCAGATAGCTGGTTTGTAAAGCCTTGTTTTTTGTATGTATAAACCATTTACCCAATCTTTGGGAAGAGCTATTTAGATATATGAGAACTATAATCCTCCAGCTAAGTAGGATTTAGATAAATGGATTATAGAGGCACAGAAGGAGTTGATACCACTTACTAGGTTAAACTGTACTTTGTTACTGTTTGACAGATCCATAGCTCACAATTTCTCCCTTATATGTGTGCCAGAAAACATACTGACCTATCAAGATAGTAATGGCTTAGAAAGAGGAGTTCCATCCTCTAGGGTATATGATGCACTTACCTTTCTACCCATAAATATTGTTTGTTTTTATTATTCATAGCCATTTGGAGCCCTTAAGTAACAAAATATATAGTACATTTTTTATCACTTTATGAAATCACGTACATTCTCTCATCTCCTTCCTTTTCCTGTGATTGTCATGAGACTCATTCATCAGACTTCCTAGATCCTAGATGTTCAGATTTCCATCAGGGCTTTCATTCATTCACTTATTTATTCATTGTTTTTTTTTTAATTTGGTAAACAGTTGGATACTTGGTAGATAATATATACAGGACATCTAAAGATCCTTGGAGGTGTTCACAATTTGGTTTGTGTGGGTATTAATGAGAGGAAGAGAGGATGCTATGGGGTCCAAAGTGAGGAGCTAGGCAGAGAGACATAATTTCAACGCAGTTGCACGAAAAGATTTTAAAAAATAACTTTGAATGACAAGGAAGATTAGGGACACCCTGGTGAAGAGAGCACTTGCATTGAGCTTTAAACATTGAGTAGGAGTTCGCTGGGTGAATTCTATGGTTTGAATATATGTGTCCTTCCAGAATTTGTATGTTGGAACCTAACTTCTAAAGAGACAGTGTTAAGAAGTGGGCCTTTAAGGAAGTAATTAGGCAATGAGAGCTTCACTATCCTGAATAAGTCCCCTAGCTAAAAAGGCTTGAGTGAGCTCTGGAGACCTTTTTTTTTTGCCCAGAACCTTGTTAGGGCACAGTATTTGTCCCTTTTGGAGGATGCAGTAACAAAGAATCACCTGGAAGCAGAGAGCAGTCCTCACTAGGTGCTGATGATACTGGTCCCTGGATCTTGGACTTCCCAGGCTCCAGGACTGGAGTAATAAATTTCTCTTGCTTATCCATTATCTAGTCTTGGGTTTGATAGCATCACAGATGAATTAAGACAATTGAAGAAGGGTGAAATAAACATTCCAGGCAAAGGAACAGCAGAGATTGGATGGAGATTGAATGGATGTTGTGATAAAGGCTGGAGCACAGAGTAAGTAAGGGCAGAGGGCACATAAGGCTAAAGAAGTTGATGAGATCAGATTGGTAAGAGCCTTCTGAGAATAGAGACCTTGCTAAGGATTTTGAATATGGCCTTGAAGCAGAGGGGTATATAACCAGATTTGGTTTTTAAGACAGTATTGTGGAGAATGGATTAGAATGGATAGCGAGTTGGTCAAGAGAAGCATTTAGGAGGTTGTTGAACAGTCTAACCAAAAGAAGTTACCACAGGGCTGTTGAGAGGCCGAGCAGGGACTTAATGCAGATCTCTCTGACACCAAAGCTGTGCTTTCCCCACAACTTTGTGATTGTTATCAATCTGTCCAGGGGTGCCCATCAGTGATGGTTTAGTTAGGAACCTATTCTAAACTCGTATTTTTTTGTTTTTGTTTTTGTTTTTTTTTTTACCTTCCACATGATCTTAAATCAGCATAATGATATGAACCTTATCTATCCTCACTTTTGAGGAGGGATAGGATTGGCAGTTTGTAGTACTCATCTTTTTTCAGAAATTATGCTATCCTTCCCATACTTCTCCCCAATTAAAGAATAACCCAGAACCATCTGATTGGTAAGTGGCAGCTGCTAGTAGCCTGGGTCATTCTAAATGTATGTCAGTGGTTATTAACATCATGTGTTTGTAATTTTTCACTACAATCTATTTTAAATATATAATAAAAGTAGATAATTTGGCTTAATACAGATGATGTAATATAATAGAATTTTCAAGATTTGGTAAAGAAATAAATTTCTTCATTGAAATTGACCTCCTTACTGACTTCTCCCACAACTTCACAGTTGGTAGTAAAGAATGAATATATTTGTTTGGTTTGAAAATTATTCCTGGGATAGTGCATCAATATTTTATAATTACACAATGATGATATATGTGAAGTGTGTGAGTGAATTCTGATATTTTTAGGATTTATATTGCAATTTTGTTTTCATTTGGTATGTGAAGGATGATAATATTTTTATCTCTTAAGTCAGAATCATTATTTCTACTGTTTACCAGGAATTATAATTTTACACTTTTGGGTCTTTGATATGCAAGTGTTAATTTTTAAGTTTTTCTGCCCTTATAGTTGAGAGACTGTAAGAGTATAGAGAAGTTAAAATATACCTGATATTTAGTAAGATTTCTTCAGCATGCAGAAATAGGTACGAGCTAAGTCTTATTAAAAGGTCTGATGACCATAAATGTTGTTATGATAAAACAGGAGACAATTTGATTTAAAATATTTCTCTATAGTTTTAATGTATAAACTGAGGATAGGTCTACATATCTACATATCTATACTGCTGTAGCTATATGTCTAGATAGCTAGATTTACATATTTAGATGGATATATAGCTATGGCATCTTCCATACTTATAGTTATTCTTTGAACATCTATATGTCAGGTACCATTATTGACAAACAATATAATATACTGACTCAAAGGACTGGGCAGGAGTTTGAGCTTTCCAGTCTAAGGGACAGTTAATGTTTCTAAGCATTGAAGGTAAAGATCGTATGACAAGCTCTGATTGGATGTGGAGAACACTGCTTTGTCAGCTGACAGGAACAGGGTTGGAGGAAGTGAGATTGGAAGGACACATTCTGAAGTTGAGGTGGGACCGGGGATGTAGCTCACTGGAGCCGGTGCCTGCCTGAAGTTGAGGTGGCTGAGTATGAGCCAAAGCTGGGGTTGTTTCCTGCATTAAGTACATAGAGAAGCACTGGCTATTGTCTGTGCTTAACTATTTTTATGTTGCATAAGTAATAGCAGCAGCATTAATTCTTCATTAATTATTAGAGGAGGCTCTAAGAGAACAATATATGTAGGATGTTAAGATAATCCTTGTATAAGGATTATCTTAACAGTAACTGTTGGTTATGATAGTCTAGAAAACCATACTGTAATTATTATCTGAATTTCAATTTTAGAGGGAAATAGGCAAAAAAAAAAAGTAGAAACAAAAGCTTTATTCCTTTTCTACAAAAATGCCTATAATTTATTTAAGTACTAAAAAAGAAAATACGTGGCTGTGTTAGCTATGTTCCCATTGCTATACCAGAATACTTGGGATAATCATCTTATAAAGAGAAAATGTTTATTTTAACTCAGTTTTGGAAGTTT